CTCACACACACACACACACTCATACACACACACACTTCTCTCTCTCTCACACACACACACACACCACACACACAATTTGCTTTTTTGAGAGGTGGTGGGAACCAAAATGCAGGGCTTAGCAGGAGGACAAGGGTTTGGAGGTCAAACTGACCCCAGTGCACTTCCTTTCTCCCTGCTTCCCCCTCCAGCACTCACTTCCACCCCTGCCAAACATGCAGAGCCAAGCCCCACAGGCAGGACCCTCTGAAATATTGAGCCAAGTGAATTATTCTACCTTCCAGTGGCTTTCAGTGAGCATTCTGTCACAGAAAAAGGAAAACAGCACAGCTGTTGGTTTTTAAGTTTACTCTAACCTCTCTGCATTGTAAGAAATGTTTTCCTTGGCCTTTCTATCATTTCACATTGTGTTTGTGATTTTTGTTAACCAAATCACTTTGTTTATCAAATAACCACGTTGATACAATAAAGTTGTTTTCTTTTTCTCTAAATAACCAGTAACTCTGGTGATGGCAAAATAATGAAGATAAACCCTCCTAAAGTAACAGGACCCCAGACCTTAGTAGCCACCCCCGCCCAAACTAAATGACTCCATGATGGAAGTATCATTCAGGCCATAAAACTCAGGATGTAGACAGCACCACCTGCCAAACGCAAAGTTCATAGTTCCAGGGAAATCTCTAAATGTTCTAACCTTGCATTTTGGCTCCTGTGGTTCCGCTTTTGGCTAACTGTTCTTGTTAACTGAAGTATGTCAACCCAGGTCATGTCTTCTGTGCTTAAAAGTCACCCTGAACATGGCTTAAGACTACACAGGGGTCCCAAACACCCAGTGCAGTCTCTGGCCAGCTAATAAAGAGTTCTGTTTGATTAAACCCATGTCTGAGCAGTCTTTGTTGGTAGGTACCCACAACACATACTGAGTAGGAAGTTTGGGAAAATGGGGGGGGGGGCTTAACTGAAGAGGAGTCAGGAGGGAGAGTAATACACAGGTGGGTTAAACAGCACTGAGGGCATTTGAAGGAAAATATTAGGATGCATTACTTTATAAGCTTACTTTCCAATACATATGCTTGCGTACCCACATACATGTAGGGATATGCCACAATACATGAAGGGATGGTACTCACCCAAGAGTCACACATCTAAAAACACCCCAGTAACTGACAGGTAAAACCTCTCCTCTGTTCAGAGAGACAAGCCAGACTCCCACCATAGCAGGGATCTTGGTCACACACACACACACACACACACACCCAGAGGTTGACAGTAAGCTCATGTGGCTGAAGACACCAGAGGCTCTGGGCACAGGACTTGGAGGTGAGCTGTGACTGACCTCAAGCCTTCTCCCTGAGAACTGGCTGTCACAGCATCAGAAGGTGCTATGTGAGCCATGAAGGGAGGAACAGTTGATAGTCCCGCCCCCTCCCCCTCCCACACCCCACCTACCCCCATCCCCACCTACCCCAACCCTCCCCCACTCCAACCCCTCCAGCTCCCCACCCCACCCCTGCCAGCCTTAAAGCCTATGAACCACATCAGCACAGGTATCTTGGATTGTCCTGCTTCGCACGCAGGAAACTGGAGCTGTTTTGCTGTAACCAATGCTGCACATGGCTGTGTGTCCTTACAGGGCGCCCCAGCTCCAGAGGTGGAGGTGGAGGGAAGAGCAGGCTACAAATGCCCCTCCCTGTCCCCTCACAGTGTCCTTTCCCTACCAGGATGTGTGCAAGAGCTGCAGTCATCAGAAGGATGAGGATTTGGGAAATGGGTTCTGGACACCTACTGACAATCTAGTGTGGACGGACATGCCCAGCCTCCGCCCATCCTTGTGCTCTCCAGGTTTATGGGGAAGACGTGTGTGAGAGAGAAGAGCACACGGTGGGAACACGGTGTGAAGCCCTGGGAAGCACACTGGCAGGCAGCACGTGTGAAGGCGAGGATGAATGATAAATAGGCGTTTACTGGGGATGAACTTACACAGCTAACAGTAACTGTGGCGTTCCTGCTCCAAGGATGCAGACCCTGCCTCCCTGATGCTCTCCGAGACCCAAGGGGCTTCAGTCCCCTGCTCCTCTCCCTTAAACAGGTCAGGTCTGAACTGTAACCACGCCCAAAGGGTGTGGCCACTGTTACAGGTTCACAGGCAAGTTGTGGCTACACAGGTGTCCCTCTCTGAGAGCTTAGTCCAGGAAGGTACAATAGTCTCTCGGGGTACAGAGGAACAGCTCAGTTCATCTGTGCCACTTATTAGATGTCATTCTGTACCATAACAGCATGAGAACTCCACAGCCCTCCTTCACTCTTTATGTTCATGTGTGTCTGTCTAGATGGAATGGTACTATATATGCATATATAGTGTACAGATGTAGATGGCTGTCACCTGTGAATGAGGGAATTGGAGCTCTGAACAGTGCTCAGTAACCTAGGGGCCAAGTGCAGACACAGACCAGGACTGCTGCCGCCCAGCACCAGAAGATGCCCTCACTCTCATTCTGTCAAGCAAAAGGCAAGACTAAAACCCACCGCGACCCCTGTATTGTACCCTTCAGTGGGGAAGGAGACAGAACTGACTTAAAGGAACCCTCACTGCACCACACAACTCTGCCAGTGCCTCGCCTCTGCCTGTAAGCAGTGGTGATGGGTTACAAGGCAGCCAGCTCAGAACCCTGCTTCATTTCTGAGGTGAGAATTTACTGAGAATTTCACCCTGAAGTCCAGCTCCTTACCTTTAGGACTAGTTTCTGCCTGTGTCTCCCCAGTGCACCCTCTGTCCTCTCCAGTCACAAGGGCCACAGCCTGGTGCCCCCAGATCTTACAAAGTTCACCCTGTAATTAGCAGCATCGGCTAGGAGGCACATAAAAATGTCTTCTTTCTGAGCTGAAATCTGCGAGGTTCTGGCATTTTATAAGATTTTTAAGATTTTGAAGGAATTTTAAAAGATCAAAGCACCTTATTAAGAATATTCTTGGGCTGGAGAGATGGTTCAATGGTTAAGAGCACTGGCTGCTCTTCCAGAGAACCTGGGTTCAATTCCCAGCCCCCACATAGCAGCTCATAACTGTCTGTAACTCCAATTCCAGGGGATTTGGCATCCTCACACACACATACACACAGGTAAAACACCAAAGCACATGAAATAAAAGAAAAAAATTGAGGAAAAAAATATTCTATTAGGAGCTGGAGAGATGGCTCATAAGTTAAAAGTACCAGCTGTTCTTCCAAAGGTCCTGAGTTCAATTCCCAGCAACCATTTGGTGGCTCACAACCATCTGTAATGAGAACAGGTGCCCTCTTCTGGTCTGCAGGCAGAACAATGTATGCATAATTAATAAATAAATCTTTTTTTAAAAAGAATATCCTATTGATTATGAAAGATTTTAGTTTGTAGAGCACGGATATAGGAAAGGGGAAGAATAGTTCTTGCAAACAGAATATAGAAAATCACAAAGAATGGATGTGGACATGGGTGGAAACATCAGGAATTATGAGAACAAGAAAGGTTACTATGGCGATGGGGCTAGTGGTTATATGCCAGGTTGATCTTGTTAAATAGGGCTAGTTACAGCCAAGAGAAAGCCAGAGTATGAAAGAAGTTTCTCACAGGTCTTGGCCCACAACAAGGAAATAGGCCACCAACCCTGGAACAAATGGTCCCAGATAAACAGCTCTGTCTGGGTCACACCTGGCCAACGGACAGTCTGGGGACTTTCTAAGGTACATTCTATGGGTTTTTCCTTTAAAGAAGAACAGGTCACACCTGGGTGATCTCTCAAACATGAGATCATACTTTGTAATCAATCACCTTGTGCCCCAAGCATGTATGCTGATTTGCAATTTATCTCTATAAAAGGAGCCTGAACCCTTTGAGGGGTGTGCAGCTTTGCCCGAGATTGCTGACACCTGAGGATGCTCATTCAATAAACACCTCTTGCTTGTTGCATCTCCTGGTTTTGGTGTTTGTGTTGCGGGGCTCTCCCATCGGCCCATCAGGACCCCAGAACTAGGGTCTAACAATTATATTTATAAATTTTGGGTTATTGTTTAAATTAAGTTTTCATGTTTTGTACTGTTGTAATTTGATAAACTGAGAATATAAAATTACTATTGTAATCCCTGCTGTGTTTCTATTGGACAATGTTGGGTTTTTGTTTTGTTTTGTTTTGTTTTTTCCAGACAAGGCTGTCCTGGAACTCACTGAGTATCCACCAGGCTGACCTAGAACTCATAGAGATCTTCCTGACTCTGCCTGCTAAGATCAAAGGCATGCACCCCCACAACCTGGCTTTTCTGGCCTGAGTGGTGTGTGGATTTTTGCTTTGCTTTGAGACTGGGTTGGCCTGGATATCACTAAGTAGCTCAGTGTGACTGTGAACTCCTCAGCCTCCCACCTCAACAGCCTGGTAGTACAGCATCACACCCCCCTCTTGCAGGCTCTCAACGCTGTTTGTCTGTTTACCGATCGTCCAACACTAGACAGCAAAACAGCATTTACATCCTGATTCCCAGACATTTCAGACATAACTCGGAGCATGTTCGGACTCGGTCCTGGTTTGGGTTCAGCATTTTTACGTTTTCGACTTTGCTGTTCCTTTTCCGGAGGAGGAGCAACGTCCGGCTTCCCTCCTCTGGGTTCCTCCAGCTCTCTGCGCGCTGCTCATCACTGCCCAAACCCTCTGAGCCCTGGAAGGAAGGGGATCTGGAGACATACTTGAAAAAAAAAAAAAAAAAAAAAAAAACCTCCTTTTTATCCTATTTACGGATGGGTTGCGGGTTACACCGGCCTCACAACCGCAAAGTGAGCGCGGCTTCCCGCGCCCTCTTTCTAGGAAACCCGCGCCGCATCCTCCCGCGGGGCACTTCTCCCTCCGGCCACACGGCGGCAGGAGAGAGCACGGCGACCGTGGTTCGGTCCGCCCCCCCCCCCGCCCCGCGGACAGTGGGCTCTTCCGGCCGTAGAAAAGCATCGTGGGAGCGCAGCTCTTCCTCTCCGTGCTCTCACGTGGCGCGCGGCATGGCGGTGCTGGTCGCTGGGGCCTGGCGGGTGGCTGTGGCCTGGGAATCCCAAGCGTCCGCGGTGGCTTTGGGCCGCTGCGATCCCTTCCCGGAGGCCGGGCGGACGGCGCGCACTCGGCGGCCGTGTGAGGAGCACGGCCCGCCGGGCCCCACGTGAAGTGGATCGCTGGGAAAGCCGAGCGCCGCCCGTGATGTCGGTCTTCACCGCACGTCTGCCCAGGAGCACAACGGGGCGAGGATGGAGTGGACGTCGGAGTGAAAAGGTGGGGTTGAGCGCCTCCTCCCAAGCTCCGAATGAGGCTAGGCCGGCCTGAGGCTCTGTTCGTGTAGCCTTTGTGTTGCCCGTTCACTTTTGGTCACTGGTGAATGTGGTGTCAAAAAAGGCATAAAGTAATGCTTTGCGGCCATTTCTTACCCTGGAGTTCGGTATCTTGGGTGTCGGAGCTGCATAAGTAACAAAATCTACCCCAAGTTGGGGGTGAATGTACTGCACAATGTAGGGAATGCAGTTAGTTTTAACAGGCTTCTATTCATTTGGCAGGTGGGTGTCTGAAGCTGGCTGCTACTTCCTGAATGGCACGCGAGAGAGCAAAGATGACTTAAGGTAAGAAGACTGCCAAGCACAAGCTCTGTGGGGATTTCCTTCTAAGTTGGGGTGCTAACGCTTCTGACGTTAGCGCAGAAGGAACTGCAGAGGGGTCAGCCTCTGCCATTAGCTTTTATGGATGTTGGGCTGTAAGTACAAAAATTGGCTAGTTTTTGCCAGTACTAAAGGCTGTAGTGGTGACTGTTACCGAAATACAAGACAGACGGTAAAGTATTTTTCTTTTCTTTTAGGATGTCCTTGAAGATTTGGAAATTCGATCTTCAGAAACATGATTTAAATTTTTTGAGAGGTGTATCAAGGAAGACACTGCGTTTTTTGTAAATATGCATTTGTAAGAAAAATGTGAATAAATACTAAATGTGCTGCTATGAGACCTGTGTGCTGAATGACAGCTTCTTGCTGGGTTCCTGTGTAACAGCTGACATAATTTCTCCCCATGCTTAATGGGAAGGGACAGACAGTGCATTGGGGAACACTGTCCTGGGAGTGAAATATATAAAGAGAAAGCATCCTTTGTGAGATGAATCCAATCAGATGATTCAACCAAGTCATTGAAACCCTAGGAAGCAGTGGGGGGGGGTAGATGCCATTGGAAAAATGTCATCTACATGTGGGCATGATTCAACAGTGATGTCAGCTGCTACTATTCCCTCTGTTCCAGTTTCAAGTTAAAAGTAGTCTGAAATTTATAAGGGCCTGTGCAGGAGCTGAGAAAGTTAGCAAGAAAGGCTGAATAAGCAGTAAAGAGACCAGACCACTAAGGCTTGGGTTTTATTAAAGCAAGGTCAGGAATAACTGGGGAGGGGTTGGTTCCAGAGAGGTGGGCCAATGAGTTTGTCACGATGAGGAAGCTGCAGAGGATGTCTTGCAAAAGCAGACTAGAATTACAGCAGAGAAGGAAGAGTGTTGAAACACTGGATGGAAAAGAATCCTTGAGTTTGGTTTTATTTTTATTGGAGGGGAATAAATAAAGGCCACAGTTGAAATCTGGGTGTTGGGGGTAATATTTAGCAAGCACTGTGTTACTGAACAATCTACCCAAGTTGAGAGGGATGCTGAAGATGGTCTTCTAAGGAATTACTGGGCTGTAACAATGAATGGTTAGAAGTGGGAAAGTCTGCAGAGGCAGACAAGACCCTGTCTTACAATGTGAAGAGGCTTAAATAGCAACAAGGAGGCTAGAAGTAGCCACAGGAAAAGATGGGTCACAGGTGATGACAGCAATACAGAGGGTTCTATTTAGAATTATTCCTTTCTGAAAAGTCACCTTGTACAGGGAAGGGGTTCAAAACTTGGGTATATGGGTGTGTGCAGGTAACAAGGTCCTAACAGGCTTTTTTTTTTTTTCCTCAGTAAACACAAGACAAGGACACTTAAATTCAAATCAACACTTAACAGCTTTTTACAATATTTGTAAATAAGCACTGGGACTTAATGCCACAAAATACAATATTACAAACAGCTTTATGGGAATAACTCATGACAGTCTGTAGGCCAGGAGGAGTTCAGGGCATCTCGTCTTGGCTGTGGTGGAGATGAGTTGGATAGATTTCAGGTAAGACTAGCTTCCAGTGAGTTCATGATGTCCTTCCAGTCAAAAGGTCCTACAGCACAAAAATGCTGGGCCTAAGCCCTTTAAAAATTTATTTTCTTACGCTAAAGACACATGTCCGAGACAAGTGGACAGTTATCTAATTCACAGTTTCAAAAGCAGCAGTGGGACACAGCATTTCCATTCCCACCCTTTGCCCTTAACCAGGTCAAGTCTCTGTCTTGAGGCGGGCAGCCTGGATAGTTTTTATTGTTTTTGCAGTATGTTTTCCAGCCAGATTGATTGTAGCTAGCTGAGATTTTTCTTCAATCAGGCTGTCTTTGGACCCATTTCTTCTCTAAAAAAAAAAAAAAAAAAAGAAAGGAAGGAAGGAAGAACAACATAATCACATTAAGAACTTTTAGAAACAGACCATAAGCTGCACAGAGAGGGATTGGGAAGAGCAAGTCCAGCCTGAGCTATATAATGTGGCCACCTTAAGTTTATTCATTTATGACACTTCAAGTCGTAATAACAAAAAGAAAAGTCTATGGTACCGTTTGAAAGCCCTGTCTAGTTAACTGCAAAATCAAATGTGTTTAATGTTGCTCTGACAAGAGTGGGTACAGAACAATTGTTTTCTTTACTTACAAGACTTCCTCAATCAAATAGGCTTTCTTTTCTGAGCAAGGCCTCTGTCACCCTATGAAACAGTTACTAAACTGTGATCATTTAGACATCCCTGTCATTTGGAACTGAATGTCACTGTCAACAGGGTGAGGAGCCTTGGAGATTTGCATTATCAAGAGAGGTTTCCAGGACAGGCTCCAAAGCAATACGAGAGAAACTCTGTCTCGAAAAACCAAAAAAAAAAAAAAAAAAAAAAAAAAGTTAATTGACCTACCTGAGCCTGGACACCATACCCAGCACTTCTGGAGTCTGGATTTGTATACAACCCATTAATTAGGTCAGATGGAAACCCAAGGATGCCACCAACAGTACCTCAACAGCTCTCTGCTGTGCCTCCCAGGGATGACTGAGCTTGCTATGACTTCTCAACCTTATGTATAAGCATTTCCAGGCTGGCCTTCCCTTTGCTGTGGAGGACAGCTACAGCAGGACTTGGGTACTTCTGTCTGCCATCCCTTCAACAGAACAACTGTGCCTGCCACCATTTCTCCAGCTTGAAAAAATAACTTAGAGCAAAGCAATTCTTTTTATCATAGCTCCACTCGATCTTAGTCTTACCTTAGCGTGCGCACACACAGACACACACACACACACACCAACCATTTGGGATCTGGCACTACCTCTTTTCATTCCTAGCAGCTCTTTTCAGACTGTGCCCATGGTTTTTTATCACATCCTTCTGCTTTCAGATTCCGTGTGTGGTTTTTGGATAAACAGAATGGAGTTAGACTGACTGCTCAATGTATCCAAAGGAACTCCCAAAGCACAAGATGTTTCTCAAACTCACAGTTGCTTGCACCTGAGCACACCTCTGACCCTGGCACTTGGCAGTCAAAGGCAGGCAAATTCTGTAAGTTCGAGGCCAGCTTGGTCAACACAGGGAGTTCCAGGCCAGTGAGAGCTACAAAGGAATCGAAGTCATTGCAATTTGATCCTCACTACCTGACTTCAAACCCCAGGACCCATGTAAAACAGTCCTCAAATCAGTTCTCTGACCACACACATCATGCCCGTAAACATCATGCACACATGATAACTAAGATTCGGATTTTAAAGTCACCAGTGGGACATGGTAAAACCTTACTAACCTGATGCACTGTGCAGCCACCAGACCCCTGAGCGTCTGAGGAACGGGTCACTGGAAGTGGTGGGACAAGATCTGTTTTTGAGCTGCCAAAGAGAAAGTCAGAACTTGTGAACCGGACAGAACCCAGATCTTTCGCTCTGCTGGGACAGGGAGCTCTGTGGGCTGTTGTGTGAGAATGACCCATTCTCTGGCCTGGCCACTTACTTCACTTCTGAGAGAACCGACCGCTCTCCGTCTGAACACTGGGATCGGCGGTACTGCCTGTAACTCCGTGGAGAATGTGAATGCCTGATGCGGACTGGGTCACCCTGAGTCCTGAAAGGACACGATAAAGCAGGGAAACACAATCAAAAGTCAAAGCAAAACAACAGGCAATTTTTTCTGAACAGCAAACTGTAAAAATAAAATTTTAAAACTGCCATTAATTATTCTTGTTTTCATTTTGTAAGTGGATTTTGCCTGATACAGGGTTCATGAAGTCCAGGCTGGCCTCAGGCTGGAACTGGTCTCATAGCTGAAGATGATTTAAACTCCTGATACTCCCAGGTCCACAGCCCAAGTGCTGGCTTATAAGCTCCAGGCTCCACACATAGCTCGGACTTGTTTTTGTTTTGTTTGTTTGTTGGTTGGCTTGTTTATGAACTTGACTTTTATGGGCTGTGAAAGCAGTAGTGATTTAAATTTCACAGTATTTTACAAAAGAAAAATGCTCTCCCAAATACACTACACATGGAGCCCTGTGTGTGTGTGTGTGTGTGTGTGTGTGTGTGTGTGTGTGTGAATGTGTGTGCGTATATGTGTGTGCGTGTGCACGCACGTGCATGTGTGTATGTGTGTATATATGTGTGTGTGTTTGTATGAGTATGTATGTGTGTGTGTTTAACCACAATTTTTGTTGCAGATATTTGGACACAGGGTCTCATGATCTAGTCCTGGCCTGGACTGTATAGACAGACAGAGCAGCCCAGAAACCTGGGTGTCTTTCCTGCCACTGTTTCAGACTCTGAGATTACAAATATGCTTCATTTTTAGCCTGGCTCAATCAGTAACCCATAAACACTTCCTGGAATCCACCTGAATTCTCTCCAGGAATGTGGAAGGAAGAAGACAGTAAAAACAGCTTCACCTTCCTGTAAGGAAAGGTCAGCTCCAGCTGCTACAGCCTTCACTGGGAACTCTGGGTTAGCTCTTCCGTGTTTCCAACACACACACACAAACAAGCCTTCCCTACTTCATGATTTCACAGTGTAAACACATACTAGAACATCACATATATTATATATGCCATAAATCTCTTAACCCATGCATTCACTTAAAAAAACAAAACAAAACCCTCAGTTCCTGACCTAAAAGTGATAGCAACAGGGCTGGCAAGCCTGACCTAAGTTTGAGTCCCAGGGAGACCAGCATGATGTGAGGGGAGAACTGACTCCCACAAGCTGCTGGCTTATGCACATGTGAGGGCTCACACATAAGCACAGTCAAAATAAAGTAAGATTATGAGAAGAGGCTGGGCACTGGGAAGAGGCTGGGCATTGGGAAGAGGCTGGGGGTTTTCTGGATGGGAGAAACAGGGTTGGAGAGGGAAATAAAGCAGTGAGACGTGCTCCTCCCACATTCCTGGATAGACTCCAAGTGAGTTCTCGGAAATGTCTAACTTATAATCTCAGAGTCCGGGAGGCAGAGTCAGGAGGGCACTCACGTTCTAGGCTGATTCCATCTACACAGTCCAGGCCAGTATTCCCTTGGCCCGTTCCAAGCTGAAAACAGTCAGTGCATGCCCAGCAGTCTGGGCTGAGCTCAGACCCTGCTGAGTGCTCACAAAGCCTGTTCAGTTCTATGATGGCAGCTGACTTGGGCTCCTACGACCAGGTTTTGTGGTAAATATAATTCTCCTAACATTAAAATGGTAGATAAAACTTACTGTTATCAATGAGTATTTCAGCAAAAAGACATTATTTAAAGTGGACATAGCCATCAATAGTTACTAACATCTCACTCACGTACAAACAAGCAGAAGAGAGTCATGGAAAACAACAAGGCCATTTTGGGGGTGTGGCTTGTTTGAGACAAGGTCTCTCGCTCTAGCCCAGGCTGGCCTGAACCTCAGTACCGACCAAGGTGGCATGGAACGGGTGTCAATCCTCCTGCCCCTGCCCCTGCCCCTGCCTCTGCCCCTGCCCCTGCCCCTGCCTCTGCCCCTGCCCCTGCCTCTGCCTCTGCCTCTGCCTCCCAAGTTCGAAGATTGGAAACATGAACCACCTCTTCTACCTCTTCCCTTACATTAATCTTTAATGTACAAACTGAGACACTGCATGGAACATAAAGAAAGAATCAACTGTTCCTCCTTGGTGGTGTGAAGGGAATAAGCCCTGTGGGCTTATGTTTGAATACTTAGTACCCAGTTGGAACTGCTGGGAAGGATTAGGAGACATGGCCTAACTGAGGGCGGATCACCAGGGTGGGCTTGAGGTTTCAAAACACTGAGTCATTCCTGATGGGAGATGCATTCTGAATATGTTTCTCATACTGGTTAATGAATAAAGCACTGTTGGCCAATAGGAAATGAAGATAGGAGGGACTAGGAGACAAGGAGGAAAGAGGAAGTAGTAAGGAGGGGTCAAGATGGAGAGTCTGGAGAAAGCAGAACCGCCGTTCCTCCGCTCTCGGTAAGACCATGTGGAAATACATAGAAATGGGTTAATAATTAAGAAAGAGCCGATAAGAAACTAGTAACTGGCCAACAGGATTATATCAAATACAGAGTCTCTGTGTATTATTTGGGGCTGGCGTGATGGCGGGACAAGACCAACGGCAGGACAAGACAGGCGGCAGGCAGAAAAACCCATACTCTTTACACATTCCCAGTGTGCCCACTCTGCTTCCTACTGTGGGTCAGGATGAGCTGTCAGCTGGTCCTGCCACCCTTGATCTGCTGTCCCAGACGCTAGACTGGATCCTAACCCTCTGAAACTGTAAGCCAAATCAAACACTTTCTTTTTGTTGTTGTTGTTTTCTGGTGTTTTGTTTTATTTTGTCTTTTTGTTTTGTTTTGAGACAGGGTTTCTCTGTGGTTTTGGAGCCTGACCTGGAACTAGCTCTTGTAGACAGGGTGGTCTTGAACTCACAGAGATCCGTCTGCCTCTGCCTCCAGAGTGCTGGGATTAAAGGCATGAACCACCACTGCCTGGCTAAACACTTTCTTTTTATAACTTTCCTTGATTGTGGTGTTTTGTTACAGGAATAGAAAATAAAGTAATATGCCTTCACACTAATAGAACTGTCAAAGCCCCTCAGAGCTGTACTCACTCCACTTTAGTGTACGGGATCTCTTTCAGCTGCTCTTCTGACAATCCTGATGGGTCCACAAGTTCCTTCCTAGGAGAGAATAAGCAATGAGGTAAAAGCGTCCTGCCAGCGTACATTCTAATACCTCTTCCAATTGGCAAACTTCCCCTTCCTGCCCTTGTCTCAAAACGTGGGGTAGTAAAAGTATTCACATATGATGTGCACGAAACTGGAAAAAAAAAAAAAAAAAAACAGATTGTGTTCAAGGACAAATGGGAGAAACCCTTTCCTGTAGCCTCCTCCTCCTTTCTGCACCACACACTCTCCAGGGCCCCCATTCCCCATTGGTAAGCTGCTCTCCTTCTTTTTTATATGGATTTGGGTCTTGCTGTGAATACTTATAATACTTCTCAGAACCAACTTAAAGCTGCACGTACCATGGTGGCCATATGGCTCAGCAATTAAGAGCACTGGCTGCTCTTGCAGAAGACCCAAGTTCGGCACCCAGCACCCACATGAAAACTCACAACCATCTGTAATTCCAGGGAATCCAGTACCACCAGACACGCACATGGTGCATACGCACAACACATGCAAGCCAAAATCCTGTGTGTGTGTGTGTGTGTGTGTGTGTGTGTGTGTGTGTGTGTGTGAGAGAGAGAGAGAGAGAGAGAGAGAGAGAGAGAGAGAGAGAGAGAGAGAGAGATGGTCACAGATATTCTAAGCTGCACACATGGGGAGACCCAATACTCACTGGATGTGTTTCCATAGCTCTTCTTTTGCTTGGATATCAGGGCTTCTTCTGCAAATAAATGAAACAACATTTACCTCTACAACACATGCCCTGCACAGACCTTACAAGTTACCTGGAAGAGTTCTATGAGGTCCTATTTGCCCTCTGGCTACTGGCAGGACATATGAGCAGCCAGAGCTACTACAATGACCAGTGAAGAGATGGCGGGTAATTTATTGGCCAGTGTCACTGAAAAACTCACATAAATATACATAAATAAAAATGAGGCATCACCAGATCTTCATTTATGAAAGAGCCTGGAAGCCAGGTTTGGTGGCTAGACCTGTAGTTCCAGTACTTCGTGGCAGAGGCAGGGGGTCTCACCACAGGTTTGATGCCAGCCTGGCCAGTCAGTGCCACACCAAGACCCTACACATCATAAACAAAAACTACACACGAAGAAGGGAAAGTTGGGGACATGTCTACAAACCCTCTCTGGTTGTGACTGGACAATGAACAGTGATTCAGGGGTCCTGGTGTCTCATTTTACTTTCTACTTTTTAGTTACACTTATTTATTGTGCACATGAGTGTTTCACAGTGTACTCAGTACAGTTTGCCTGAGTCGGCTCTCTGCTTTCACCATACTGGTCCCGAGGACTTAGCTAAGTTCCTCAGGCTAGCAGCAGGCACCCCTAACCTGCTCAGCCATTTCACCAGCCACCCCCTCTTTTTTAAGTAGGAAAGAACTCATTTCTATTACCCATTGTTAAGGCTCTCAACATGATCTGTGATGACCCAGTACAGGTAACATCCATGAGAGTGAGGCAAGTCGTCTAATAACATCTCCCCTCTCATGTGACATCTGAAACAGCATTTCTACACCAAAACTTAGGCCACAAGGGACAGAGCTCATAGGGGATGTCCTTCTGTTTATATGTTTCTCTTATCGGTTGATGAATAAAATGCTGTTTGGCCAACAGCCAAGCAGAAAGCATAGGCAGGGCTGCCAGACCAGGAGAAGCTGAGGAGAGGGAGGCCGCCAAGAGACACCATGCTGCAGGAGTAACAAGCCGGATTACAGGTAAGTCACAGCCTCATGGCAGTATATAGACTAATAGAAATGGGCTAGTGATTAAGACAGAGCTAGCCAATAAAAAGCCTAAGTCATCGGCCAACAGTTTATAAATTAATATGTCTTTGTGTATTTATTTGGGGAAAAGAGGCTGTGAGACCAGACCAGACAAGAACCCTCTAGCTACACAGAGCCTAGTTGTGGTTTTCATAATGCCACCACCTTTTCCCTGAAGACTCCTTGGATGGAAATTATACCATTATGTTTAAAGTCCTAGAATAAGAAACCTCAGTCACTACCTGAGTTCATACTCTCCATTGGGTTAATTGTTAACCCCCACTATAGCAAGGAATAATAAAATTATTCCAGTTGTTGCCACAGAATGTGACCCTTTTCAGTCCCCTCAGAAGGAAAAGAGATCTAATAAGGGGCCCACAGAAAGGTCCTAAGCTTGAACAATTAACAAGGTTAAGAGTTGAGCTGCTGATAAACCCTGCCCTGTGGAATTTTACACTGAGGTTCAGTATCACTTCCAGCATACAATATCCTCATCAATGCTCTCATTTTTCTCTCATGCATTCTGGCAGGGCTGCTGAATCCACAGAATACAATACTTGGCTACAGAATTTACTAAACGGTCTCTCCTCTGTGTGTGTGGATGGGGGGGGGGGTGATCAAAAATCTGCTCCTTCGGTCAAATCAAAAGGAGTGAAATGTGGTAAGGGATGGGGACAAAGCCCGGGTGTCTGACCAGGGACGGTGTTGATCATAGATTTTGTTATATAAAACTGTATGCTTTTAAAAAAATCATACAAATGGTTCTGGAAGGTCTTGAACAAAACCTGCCTTTCCAACACTTTGCCCATCTGATCTCCTGGGTAGTCTGTCAACCGTTAAATGATACTAAGAAGGTGCAAGTATTTCAGAGTACTAATCTTTTCTTCCAACCCAGCATGCTGGGTCAGCATGTGGTTGTCACAGGAGGCTGCTCCACAGTTTATCACAGGACATGTAGGTGGAGGCTGTGTTCTGCTGCTCAGCTGTTCCTTCAGGGAGGTGCTGGAAGGACTGGTCAGCTGTCTCCATGTCACAGGAAGGTTCTGCACCCCCAGCACTGCTGATATTTGAACAGTAACTCTTTGGGAACTTCCCTGTGATTTTAAGATTAAGTCAATGCCACCCCCAGCATCTACCCAGCAGAAGCCAGTGCCCTCCCTAGTGTTAAAGACAAAAACGACTCTTGGGAGTCATGAGATGGCTCAGCAGGTAAAGACCTTGCCACCAGGACTGATGGCCTGAATTCGATCCCTGCGACTTAAGTATTGGAAACTCCCAGAAAGCTGTTCTCTGGCCTCCAGACACAATATGGCACATAATTCCCACCCAAGCCTTTAACACACACAAATAAATAGATATAATTAAAACAGTTAATGACATTACCAAGTGTCCCAGAAAGAACAAAGTTGCCCCCACCTATAAACTACAAGTCTGAAAGTAGCTAACATTACGTGACAGAAGTGATTTATTGAAAGACCCAGTGTGTGGCTCTAGAAATAGTGCAGACAGCAGGTGGGGTTAGATGTTAAAAACAAACAACAAATAAAAAAAAAAAAAAAAGGTGAGTGAGACCTGCATTACAGCTGATGGCAGTGGCAAGGTAAAGAGAGAGCCAGGACTGGCGTGATCTGAGAGCATGAGGCTCGAAGCTTAACGCTTTCACAGAAGATGAGGAGAAAGAAAAACAATGTGCAAGGAACATCCTATTCATGACCATCCTGCCAAACCTAGTAGTGAGAGGCGACAAGGAGGAAGAATTAGTTTTGAAAATGAGGTGTGGGGGGAGGGCAGGGGTGTGCATGTGTGCTCGAGTTCATGCAATGACTTGGCAGGTAAAAACACTGGCAAGCCTGGTGTTCTGAGTTCCAAATCCAGGACCCAAAATAGAAGGGAAGAACCCACTCTTGTAGGTCATCCTCTGACTTCCACACTACCATGGGATGCAAATTCCTATATACATAAAGATACACACATGCACTCAAAAGAAATGCAATGTAGTTTAAACGCACACATCCGCACAGCTAACAACCTGGTTAAAGGGTAAGCGTACAACTCAATGGTTAAGCCATAGCCAAACACATGCCACCTGCATTAGATCTCCAGTGCTGCGTGCCCAGACACACCAAGAAGCAGCAAAAGCATGACCACAGCAGGCATTTTTCTGACTGCTGGCACTTCGGGTAACTTTAGTTTCTTATCTGTGCCTTTCTGTTTGTACTTTTAGCCGCAGACTTACTTAGCTTATGGGGGAGCAAGGGGAGTTAAGAACTTTTTCAAGTGTAAGTTTTGTGAGTCCATTTAAGATGCCAGTCATTCTGTCTCTGAAAACTTAGCAGGAAAGCTGCCTTAGCCTGGACAAGACCACAGTCCCTCTGCACCAGAAGTTCTGGACCTAAGAGGTTCAGACATTTAATCTGTGCCTTTATATCCTATGGCCCTGAAATGGCAGTCTTCCAATGAAACAGTTCTACTATGTCCTCTACCTTCAAAGAGCGCAGGGCATTGGGAAACTAAAGCTGGGAAAATGACGCTAGACCATCTGTGATACACAAACACAACCCACTGAGATGCTGTTATGCGGGCACCTGCATATTTGGTTTACACTTCCTACACTTCAATACAGTTTTGTGTGTTCAGACACCTGTGAAATTCCAGTAGCCGTTTGTCCGTAGCTCAGCTGGGAGAGCTTGCTCAGCGTGCACAAAACCTTGAGGTCTACACCAGCACACACTAAGACAGGTGTGGCAGCTCATGCCTGTAATTGAGCACTCAGGAGATGGCTCGGGAGAGTAAGTCCATCCTCAGCTATATGCTGAGTTCCAGGCCAGCCTGGGCTACATGACAAAATAAAAACTTATGCAGACACTTTGTTCCTCAGGTGCCCACAGTTATAAAATATATCAAATATAAACATGCTAACAGTATTGGCCCAGGATTTGTTCAAAGCATCTCCATCTACACTTGTGCAATGATTCGATTTTAAATCAATCGGAGAAATTAGTTTTAATGGATTAGCTCATAATGCAAGCACCTGGGCAGCTAGGGAGGAGACTCAAAAATTCAAGGCCAGTCTGGGCTACAGTCTCAAAATAACTATGTAATAATATACAATATTTATTTCAAATAGCAAACATGGCAGTGTCCAGCTTGTACTGTTGCCATCTTTAAGCTAGCTGCATCGCTAAGTGGGAATTTAAAGTTAAAAAACACAGGAATACAAAATGTAAATGAACTTAGAGACTTCAAAGCACTATTCTTAGTACTTCTGATATCCCTTCACAGTCAGAAAAGGTGAAGTTAGGACACAGCTTACTCCTCCCTGCCCCCTTCCTGTCCTAATTAGGGACATGAGGTCCAGTAGCCCAGCTGTCCAAGTCTGCCAGGAGTGCAAATATTCACTGAATATTCACCCAAAATGGATTTGTGTTTTATTGGGTCCATCAATTCCTGGGCAGCCTCAGTGATCACATGATCAAGTTTTCAGTCAGTAAAAAAAAAATAGTATCATGAGGTGGACACCAGGGGGCAGTGGAGCCCACTCACACACAGAGACTATGGTTTGAGGGTCTAGGGCAAGGCCTCTCCCACACAACCCAAGGGGTGGAAAGCTATTCCAATGAGCCTGAAGCTGACCCTGTTTTGTGTATATATCACAGCAGTAAACATAAATGCCTTAGAAATGGGACTGAGAAGTATACTTGATAATACTGAGCTTCACAGTGTTTAATAGATAAGACCCAGCCATGTTCAGCATAATGCTCATTGTGGGGCAGGGAGCACAAACACACACACACTAATAATAATAAATAAAAACTTGTAAAGGAGAAACGGAGTTTGTATTACAAAACTTCCTACAAAGAAAATTCTAGGCAAACAGTCTTGAGGCAGGCAAGCATCGGGGATCGTTTAGCTACCCAGGACTGCACTTGGTTTGGGCTGTGCCCATCCTCTTCTAATAACACCCTTGGCAGCCTGACACCCACAAACACACGTACTACACGTGAGCATGCATTCACACACACACACACATACACACACACTCACACACACGCACACCTCTGAACAATGCAGCCAACAAGCTGTTGGGACTCCTACCTGAACCAAGCTGCATGCACACCGACTCTGAGCAGAGATAACTTGCTCGTCCCTTTACCCCTTAGCAGCCTTTAAACTGCAGCAGACTCTGCTCAATCGCACTGCAGTTATGTCCGAGTTTGTGAGTACAAGGCCAGTTCAACTTGAACTAGTTTGGATGCATATGCAACAAAACACACTTAGTCCTCTAAGTGAACGTGTAGGGAAAACCCTCTACTTTCCATAACATGCCTATGTGTTATTTGATGTATATATGATTAAAGTCATGTGCATTATGGGAAAGGGCGTGTGCAATAAGCAGAGGTCTACTAATCAGAATCTTCTAGTCAAAATAGAGAACTACACAAAACACAGCCCAAGCTGCCCGCATGTAGAAAGGGCCCCTGGGGCCCCTGGGCACCCTCACCTATGAGGCCCACTGTCACTCTTGACAGTGTACCTTCACTTGGAACAAAGTTACCATGCTAATTTGCCAATCTGTGGGTCTTTATTGCAACTCCTCAAATAAGAAAGAGGTGGAGAATGTGTAAACATTTAGCCTGGGCCCCAGTAGGGTAAGAATTTCAATGAAACATTATACAAAATATTTAAAGAAGAAATTATGCTGATTTTATATTAATTCTGAAAACAAAGAGGAACATATCCCAAATTAAAATATAACTTTTAACACACACACACAGCACAATACACACCCTGAAAATCATAGTGCCACATTAAAAAGAGAAGGAAAAAAGAAAACCTGGACATGATAGTGTCTGTCTGTCATCCGTACTTTTGGGAGTTATAGAGGCAGAAAGATCAGAAATTCAAGGTCCTCAGCAGGATGTAAAGGTGTATACCTTTAATCCCAGAACTTAGGAGGTAGAAACAGATAGGTCTCTGAGTTCCAGGCCAGTCTGGTCTCTATGGCAAGTCCCAGGCCAGGTCAGCCAGGGATACATAGTGAAACTCTGTCTCAGAAATGAAAGAAAAGAGACGAGGAGAGGAGAGGAGAGAAGGGGGGAGGGGAGGGGAGGAGAGGAGAGGAGAGGGGAGGGGAGGGGAGGAGGGGAGGAGAGGGGAGAGGAGGCAGGGTAGGCAGGCAGGCAGGAAGGCAGGAGAGAGTGAATTGAAGGCCAAAGGCCAGCAGGGGATACTTGACAACAATAAAATGTTCTATACCAGGTAGAAGGACACAGGCCTTTTAATGCCAGCACTTGGTAGTGAAAGGCAGGCAGGGCTCTATGAGTTGAAGGCCAGCTAAGACTATATAGCAAGTTCCAGGAAAGTCTGGGCTACAAAGCAAGACCCTGTTTTATATTATTTGTTTCAGATTTATTTACTTTAATGTGTATGTTTTGCCAGTATGTATGTCTGTGCACCACATGTGTGTTTAATGTCAAAGAAGGTCAGAAGAGGGTGTGGAATCCCCTGGCACTGGAGTTACAGATGATCGGTGCTGGGAACAGAATCTAAGACCTCTACAAGAGCAACAAGTCCTCTTAACCACTGAGTCATCTCTCCAGCCCCAAGAGACCCCCCTTTTAAGATCTAATCTAAAGCCAAGTATCTATGATTGAGGAGTATCCCTTCAAATATGCAGCACACAGGGTCTATGCTGTGGCCTCCAGTGCCCTCTCCTGGCCTGCCAACCCAACAGTGCATTCTCAGCTTTCTCCTGGCTCCCTCAGAGATAGATACCCAGCTGGCTGCTACATCAACTTCCCACGTCCATCCTCTCCCTGCTCAGACACTACTCTCTCCTCCCAGGAGTAAGAACACCATTACAGACGGCCACCTAGGGTCACAAGGGCTTTGCAGTCAGTTCCAGCTCACTTGACACATGCTTGCATGCTTGGCAATTGGATCAGGCATGGATGGCCTAACTCTTGATGTATAGACTAACACACACGCACACGCATGAGCATGTAGGCACACCACTTTATCAGCTCACAGAAAACTTATCTGGGGACAGGCAATCTCACCATTATGGGGTAATTGTGCTCACACGTGTCATTGCCTAGCAACAGGAGGGGCAGGCAAATCTCAACACTGGGGTGTAATGAATCATTCAATGACTACCGATCACTAATGGTAATTTGACAGGAAGAAAGTCACATCGGGCTCAATTTAGAACAAGACTTGGGAGAATTCTGTAGACTCAAATTGGTCAAAGCAGCAGGTGTCTTACCAATAGCCAGGCTTCAGAACAAAATAGGTTCTAGCTCTCTGGTTGGATACATGCATTTGTTGAAAAGCAATACGAAACAAAAAGTAAGGGCTTTGATGGCCTTGTTCTGCCTGAGCTCTGACTTCTAAGCCTTCAGAAATGGTTAATGAATGGTATACATGTAAGAAGAGAAAGCAACAAATAAACAATGGCTGTTCCCAGTCTAAATAAAGCCCTGTAAGTGAGCAGACCCCAGCATCTATCCAGCTGCTCTATCAAGCTCCCTGATTGAATGAAAGTGGAAAAAGAACCCACGTACGAGCGAGATCTGTGTCTGGATCGCCTGTTGTTAGGATCCACTTGGGCTTTTTCCTTCTGTCGCCTTAATACTGCTTCCCACTGAGGCGCTGAATCAACCATGTCATTCTCCTGCCGTATTCTGAAAAGACAAAGCAGGCATGTGGAGTTCACACCCATGCTGCACATGGTGAAACTCACCTGGGACCTCAGCACTCAGCAGGCTGAGGTGGGAGAATGGGGACTCTGAGCCACCTGGCCAGCATAAAGAGACCCTGTCTCAGGGACAATGAAGAAATGTAAAGTTAACATCCACCCATGGATGAAAATGAAAACACAACATACCAAATCTGTAGGACACATGAAGGCAATCTTAACTTCTCAGTCACTCAAACCTTGCTTTTTCGATAAGAGAATAGCAATTTGATTATATCATAAAAGCTGAAAATCAAGAACTGGATTAATATATTCTTGAATAGGTCTATGCACCTGTAAATATACATACATAAGTATACAATGTTCATATTAAGTCTATAAAGTATTAACTTTAAAGTATGTCTTAATGCTTTTCTGTGTCTCCTTGCTCTGTTGTAATGTCTCTCTTTTCATCTCTAATTTTATTGATTAGAGTCTTCTTTGTCTGTCTTTTGGTTAATTTGGCTGAACACTTGGCAAATCTTGTCAATATTTTCATAGAACCAAGTCATTTAATTGATTCTATTATCTTTGTCACTTCTACCTCATTAATTTCAGTACCACTTCATCTCTTCCTGTTTACTATTTTTGGGTGTTGTCTGTTATGGTTTTCCAGGACTTTCAAATGTTCCATTAAGTTATTAAATTGAGCGCTCTCAAGTTTTGTTTGTGCAGGCAGGTACATCAACACTCCTCTCAAAACTATCTTCATTGTGTCCCACAGATTTGGGTACACTGGGTTTCCATTTTCATTCAATTCTAGAAATTTTAACTTCTGCCTTGGTTTCCACCTTAACTCACTTGTCACTTAGTGGTGTGTTAATTCATATATTTTTTGCGGTTTCTATTGGGGGTGATATTCCACTGTGGCCAGAGAGAATGCAGGGCATTATTTCACTTTTCCCGTATTCGTTAAGACCTGCTTTGTCCCCTCTATGTGGGTGGTTTTGGAGGAAGTTTCATGAGTGTGGAGAAGATTGTGTATTCTTTAGTGTTGTGAAAAGTATTCTTTAGTTCTGGTGAAACGTTCAGTAGATCTTGGGTCATCTGATTTATGATGTCATTTAACTCCAATCTTTCTCTGCTTAATATTTGTCCAGGTGACGTGTGTATTGGTGAGAACAGAGTGCTGAAGTCATCTATCATCCTATTGGGTTTAATCTGTGGTTTTAGATCTAGTTTTACAAATTTGGGTATGCTCACATTTGGTGTGTATATGTTTACATTACAATATCCTTTAGGTGGATTGTTTCATTGATGAATATGAAGTGACCTTATTTCTTCTAATTAGTTTTGGGTTGAAGTCTACTTTGTCAGATATTAGGCTAGCTACACCTGCTTGTTTCTTAGGCCCATTTCCTTGGAATACCTTTGCACACCCTTTACCCTATTGTGTCTTGTAACATGATAAATAAAAGGCTCAGAGACTGATATTGGGGTTCAAGCTTCAGAAGCAAAGCACCTGGTTCTTACCTCTACCCCAGGTTGAAAGGGCTGATCCTGTCTCCACAAGCTCTCACCAAATCTCTAACTTTTGCCTCTCCTCAGCGTGGCTGGAGAATCCAGTGCCTGATACTGACTACTGAAGATTCTGCTCTTATCTTTTATACCTCTCCAGTGCTGGGATTAAAGCCATGTGATCCCAGATGCTGAGATCACCTTTGTGGGAGCTGTTTCTTTTAGGACTGGATCAATTTCCTGTAGTCAGTATGGCCTTGAACTAACAGAGATCTCTCTACCTCTTAATCCTGAGTGCTGGGATTAAAGGTGTCTGCCTGCTTAACTAGTATGTCTAGTACGGCTGCTTTGATCTCCAGTGGCTTTGATAAATATAAAAAATTTATGTCTATCACTGATGGTGAAGTATTATTCTAATCCTAATTGCTAGTCTGTGTCTCTTTACTGGGGAACTGAAATCACTAGGATAAAGAGTTATTATTTAAAGGTATGTATTAATTTCTGTCATTTTGTAGTATTGTGCTAGGCCTCTTTTGATTACATGTACTGGCATTGTTGTGTTTATTTCCCATGAACTCATGTTGCTGAATTGCTGTGCAGGCTTTTGGGGTGCGAAGGAGTGGACATAGCTGGTGGTGTAATGGAATGCCATCACAGGGGAAACACACAGAACAAGGAGACGGGAAGGAGCCTAGTTTGCACAGCTTGAAGAACACTGTTCCATCTTCTCATTGCAGAATAAATTAGAAGTGAACATACATGCTATGGACATTATAAGGAGCACGAGAAAGTACAAAACCTGAGGTGATCAACATCATAAGGGGACATAGGCTCGCTTATATATGTGTGGGCACATGCGTGTGCCCACACACTTTCATGGCTGCACCTATCCCTACAATCCTTCCCCATCAAACAGGACAGAAGCCAGCAGGCTTGCTGGGAGACCTGATACACTCTCAGGACTGAGGGAGATGCTGTCAGAGAAAGGATCAGGTCAGTGGCAGATCTCCCCTCCCATAGGACCTCATGCCTTAATTTCTGGGTTTAGGACTAGACATAAGATTCTGAATGGCATCACTGTACAGGTCATGGGCAAGCTTAAATGTCACTACATATTTAGATATGTTTATCGGGCAGTCAGGATCTTCTGTCACCTTGAGTTCAAGTCTCCTAGCAAGACTGAGATGACTTAGTCCAACATGTACTTTCTTCTAAGTACAGACATTCAGAAGGAAGACAAGTGCTACAAGCATATTCCCATCCATTCAGAAGGTTAACCATCATACTCAGATGATAAAAAATAAAATAAAATAAAATAAAAAATAAAACTAGCCAGGCATGGTAGCTCACACTTTTAATGCCAGAACTCAGAAGGCAGGGGCAAATGAAGGATTTCTGTGAACATGAGTCCAGCCTAGTCCAAATAGTAAGTTCTAGGCCAGCTACCTACAGCATAAGAAAAACATAATGCTGGCAACACACATATGGATTTTCTTTACCTTGCCAGTAAAAAGGACTAAGTTAAAAATGAATTTCAGATTATACCGTGTACTTTGACTTTTCAAACTGGAATCCTCACATAAGGCCAGTAAAATGCTACTGCTTCATTGCCTGGTGACCCAGGGGCTCTGAAGATAGATACCCTCTATAGGTGATGCTGTTTCATAAATATTCTAACAGATGCATTAAAAATGCAAGCTCGTTGCAGTCACAGGAGAAGCAGTCTTCTTGAGCAATGCTGCTGTGGACACCCAAGTCCAGCTCGTAATGAAGTTTGGAATTACATGCTTACAAAAGGCCTCTGGTTAATGATGTCTCATTACAAGAATGGAAGTGTCATTTCTTCCATCACTGAACTGTTCCAAAAGACACAGGTGCAATCTAGGAACAAAAACATCCTAGCACTCAGAAGCAAGTATACTTTAGCACTCAGTCCTTAAAGGCAAAGGAGTTATCCATTCATTTTCTTTTCAAATCATTTTCAAATAAAGGAAACATTTATGTGAAAAAAATGTCTCCTATAATGATTTTTTTTTCTTTTCTTGAGACAATTTCATCATGTAGCCTGCACTCCTGATTCTCTTACCTTGATCTCCCAAATGCAGACACTCTGGGCATGATTCCCGAGCCTTGTTTATTCATAGGTGTGGAATATGTAAGTGTTTTTTGCTACCTCCCAGCTACACATTAATTTTGATGTAAGGATTTACATTGTCAGGAACAGAAATATTAGAAGCCCTGACCTAGCACATAACCATTAAAAATATCAAAATCAGGAAATTATCAAAGGGGGAGAGGGTCTATCATCATTTATGCTACAGATCTAGTTGTTTCAAATGATACAAAAGACGAACCACAAAGCCTAGCACATTTCCTGCCTGAATCTCTCAAATCGATATTCACACACTTTGTCTATTTCCCCCTACCTGAAAAGAGAGTCAACAGATAGTGTGGGAAATATATCCTAACGAGACTTTTGCTTTTAAATTAGTGTATGGGAGTGGAGGGGTGGAGAAAGGAGAAGAGAGGGGAGAGGGAGAGGGTAAACAAGAAAAGAGAAGGAGAAGGTAAAAAGGGGAGAGGGGCCAGGAAAGATGGCACACTCTTTAAATCCCAGCACTCGGAAGGCAGAGGCAGGTGGATCTTGAGTTCAAAGCCAGTCTGGTCAATGGAGTGAGTTCCAGGACAGCTAGGGTTACACAGAGAAACCCTGTCTCCAAAAAGGGAAGGGTGTAAAAGGGGGATGTGGGGAATGGGAGAGAGGGAGAATGTTTTCAAATAGAGCCATTTCAACAGTATTTCAGGGGCAAAGGAATTGTAATGCATTTCCTCCGTGTCTCACCAGGCTTTCATTGTCTACCTTTTCCTAGGTTACCTATGCAATTTAGATTCTGACTGCATTTAACACTTAATTAAAGTTTGCTAAGGTTATGAAGATGAAATGCTAGCAAAGTGAAGATAACAGCAATTCCTATTCTTTCCTCTCTCCTCTTCCACACAAATCTTCATATTATCAAATGAATTCTGACACAAATCTCCGGGCTCTCCTCTGTCCGCCCCCTCTATCACTTTTGTTCTTAATGGGGCCTTCCTTCCCAGCAGCTCTTAACTCCCTTCTGATTCACTGAGGTGGAGGCCACCTTTAACGCTGAACCTGAAGTCTTTTGGAGCAAACGCGGAAGGCCCACTCTTGAGTTCTGTCTGTCTGTCTATTCCCCACTTGGTCACTATCGACTCGTCTGAGACGTTAAGAAAACCACTTATCTCTTTAGGTCAGGACTCACTCTGGTCATGTGAAAAATTATTACAAAGATCTTTTCTAGCTTTAAAACTCAATGTTTCTCTATTTGTGTTTTATTTCCAAACCAATGAGATGCTAAGGCAAAGCTTCTCTCTTTGACTGCAGCATAACATCCTAGACAATTGCTTTGTGTGACCACTCTGCTGCTAAAATTAAATCACTAGCTCCCAACAGACTGGGAATTTGTG